ATCAATCTCATGCACACATGCAGAAGCATACAATCTAAACATTTCCATCACAACAATATCACTATCAAGCAGCTTCAATTCTACGTCAGCAGGCATTATAAACCAAACAACAGTAGTGGCAGGGTATCCCATTTCTTTAACTAAGTCAATTATCTCGAAATATGACATCAAATCTGGGTCAACATCTTTAACAATGTGTACCTTGCCTCTGATATACCTACCCCCTTCACCACCAAAACTCCCCCGTAGTTAATCCTAAGTGTATACTGCTGATCGCCCAACATGTTTTCCTAAACAAAAGAAAAAATAATCAATTAATCAAATGCACATAAGTTGCAGAAACAAAAAAAACCCCAAAATTAAATCTCAATACCAAAAGAAAGAAAACCCCATGAAAAGTCACAATATTTATGGAAATTGTTCTGGAAAATAGTAAATTGCCAACAAAATTCCAAAAAATAAATCTTAAGACCAAATTAAATTAATTCCCCAAAAATTCGAAAAAGATTTTTGCAAAACCCTAATTTTCTCAAAATCGTGAATTAATTTAGTGAATACCCCAATTTAACATCGAAATGGACAAAATAAACACCATAAACACAAGAAATTTGTTTCTAAAACAAACCCATGACATAACTACGAAAAAAAAAGGTGGAATTGAAAGCCCTAAAAGCAACACTAACCTTTGTCTCTCTTTAGATTTCTTGATTTTTTTGCCTCCAAATTTCTTCAGACGTCTTCAGACATCAACGCTTTCAGATGATTCAAACCATGGAAGAATTTCAGCAAAGAAATCAAATTTTGGGAAAATTTCGATCTTACGTTCTTAGAGTGAAGGAGAAACGTTTTTTTTTGTCTAAGTGAGAGGAATGATAAGTCTGCACACAATACAGACCATGTTAGTGTTACAAGGGTACATAAGTAATTACACTCTTAAATTAACGGTGTTAATTTTCTAACGTTTGACCAAAAAACGGAGGGGCCATTTTGTCACGTTTTGTAGTCCAGGGGGGTGTTTGCGACAGACCCCATAGTTCAGGGGTGCAAACTGTAGTTTCCCAAAAAAAATCATATTGATGTGGTTGACATTAATATTACTGTCATCCACAGTAATATTACTGTAACGACAGTTATATTACCGTCCACCATAGTAATATAATTGTGTTTACGGTAATATTACAATAGTAGACAGTAATATGATTACGTTAATCGGTCAACAAATCATACTAAACAAAAAGGCCAAAAAAATAATACATTGATGTGGTTGACAGTAATATTATTGTGTTTACAGTAATTTTAATGTCAACGACAGTAAATATTACGTTGACTTGTCAACAAATCAAACAAAAAAAAAGTTAAAAAATAATAACATTTTTGTGGTTGACAATAATTGTACTTAAACGACAATACAATAACGTAAATTTACTCTCAACAATAGTACAATTACTCTCGGTGGCAGTATGATTACTGTTAATGACACTACAATTACGATCAACCTTCGGCGGCCGGCTTAAAAAAACGGATAAAAATAAATTAAAATCCATTCAAGTGAAAAAAACAAAAAATAATAAACCAGTCAAAATTGTTAGAGTAGGTGGCCAACAAGCCAACTTGCGCCTATGGTCTTTTATTTATTCTTGCAATAAATTTTCCTTTTCCGTATTCTCCCTACCTTTAAAAGCATGAATGTTTTATGTTTCTTAACTTTTTTGTGATACCTATTCTACCCTTATTAGTAAGTTATTATATATCTATGTATATTACATATTGTTATGTACGTAAAAATATTATTTATATTCCAATCAATACATCTTATTAATATATTTGCACTTTACTGCTCTCTCTCGATCTCTCTTTGTTTGTTTTTTTTTTAGTTTTTTTTTATTTAACACATATACAAAAGTAATGTTTGGGAACTTTGTATTCCATTTATTGGATAAATCAAATTCGACTTGGATTTATGGATCATCGGAAAATGATATTTTTCTAATAATCCATAAAATATTTTTAATGGCGTGATTTAGTTTCATGATTTACATCTCAAACCTCTAGAATATTTTTATTTATTATTTTTTTATTTGATATAAATTTATAACTTTTCTTTTATCGAAATATGTAAATTAAATAAACATATTTAGTAATAAAGAAATTATATCAAACTTTTAAAACCCGTAAAATGAAACTACATTTGATTTAGTATGTCTTCGTAATATTTTTTTATGAAAAGAATATGATAAGATCGATGATAATTTCATAAAATGTTATGCAAGTGACAAAACCAATATAATGATATTATAAAAAACAGTCACTTAAAGTTTTGGTAGTAATATGTCTATTTTAAATATTTAGCTTACATTTATTTGGTAATGAAGGAATCTATAGCATTTTTCTTATATAAGGAACTCTGTGTTGCATATTATTTTTTCTAGGTTTTATTTATTGCAATTTGTTGAATTTTTTCTGAATGTTCATGCATTTCGCTATAAAATTCCGAAAAAAAAAGTGAAAACATTGTGAAAAATCCCATTATATCCGAATTTGGATCAAGAGATTATAAATTAATGCAATTTCTGAAATTTCCGAAATATTGATAATATTATGATCATTGGAAAACTCTTGAAATGTCACTCTAAAGAAAAGACATTGTTGAAATTTAATGTATAACAATAGTTACAGTAACAAAAAAAAAAAAATTAGTATATTTTGTAGTATACCAGATCCGTAACATTAAAATTATAATACTAAAAAGTAATTAATATACATTATTATTTATTAACTTATTTTCTTTTTATGTTTTTTAACATAATTGACTATGGTGAAATCATATTATCACTTATACTAATAAAATCCATAAATAACGATAAATACATGAAATTAAGAATTTATTTTACCTCGATATTTTAAAATCAATCTTAGCCATTCACAACTATTTCATCTTATTTTAGACATATTTATTATATATTGGTTATTATTATTTATTTTTAATTTTATTTTGTTCTTTCTAAATAATTCTTAATTAAGTTAATAATGTTCACTTACATGTTTATGATATGTCACTGAAAAACTCTATTATGAGTTTTATGTAAAATACATTTTATTTAATAATTTAAGAAAATAAACTTCAACTTTCAAAATAAATCATAATATATGAAAAGATTATCATACTTTTAATATAACATAATATAAATATTATTAATAGTATTAGTAAATAATAATTCGTTTGAGTTTGTATTATTCTATTTTCATATTTGTGGAATATCCGTGATAAAAATTATATGAGAGCTAATTTAAAAGTTTAAACTACTTTAGGTATCTAAAGCTTAACTTAAAATAAAATGATTTATTTTAAAATAAAGTTTTACAAGTATATGCTTATAATATATTATTGGAAAGCTCTTCAAATATAGTTTTATACAAATTAAATTACATGAAAAATTTCAATACGTAGAGAAAAATTCAATATGAAGAAAGTAAACACTTGCCTTAGTATAAATATACCACATGAAAAGACATTTGATATTTAAACTACATTATTAAGCTATGTTAATTTATTATTTTCATTTTTGTTATTACACAATTGATCCTAACTAATTGATGGTATAACTTTGTAATAAGGGGCATAATAGGAAGCACAAAAATGTTAAGAAACAAAAATGTATATTTTACCCTTAATTAGTAAGTTACACTATATACTATTTATGGTTAGTTAAGTAAAAAAGTTATTGATATTTCAATCAATGCATTCAATCAATGTATCATGCTCTCCCCTAATTCATAATACGAATTTTTGTTTTACTTTATAGCATAATGAAAATTCATGCACATTTTCTCTTTCTATTATATTTCTATGGTTTTGTTTTGTATTTCCTTTACTTTTTCTTTATAGTAATTGCTTTCGTATTTTCCATTTTTCAACTGCACATCTCTATTTTTCAAAATAAATAAACCATAAAGTAACAATTGTTTTGGATTTTTGGACAGGCTAAAAGAAAGATGAGTAAATTACAACACCTCTGATTTGAGGTATAATTACAAATTTTTTTTTTCGTATAATAGCATCCACACGTGTACATTGTATCCATCGTACACGTTCACCCTTACAGTGTCAAAATAAATTGTTTTTTTAGATTTCGTGAAATATTTTTTAGTCTATCCCCAATTCCCCATTTTACCCCGGCATAGGAGTCCCAATAAAATAGCTCATTTAAGACAAAAATATCGTTAGGAAGAAGTGGGTAACATTTAAAATTTCAGAGGATTCAATTATAATATATTTTCAGGTTAAAAAATATATTTGTAATTTAATTCCATGTGCAGCCGCCGACGGCTCTAGAGAGGGGTGGGTAATTGAGGCTGAAAACGAAGATGAGTACTATATTCCTTGGTTTAAATTTTATCAACTCGACACTACCCAGATGACGATAATTGCTCTTGCTATTAACATTGAGGTTTATGTGGAGGATCTAAATCTTTTGGTAACTCCTGAAGAGCTCATAAAGACCGCAAACTATTTGATGAAAGAATTTGAGATGAAAA